AAATAAAATAAAAATGGACGAAACATGCTTCAATCATCTCTCCTTGGCCTGTTATATTGAAAATGTATGTTTTACAATTCGCAGTATGATGTTATCTATTGCTAAATTATGGCTCATCATAGACTAGCTAACCACAAAGCAGTCCCTGCATTGTAAAATGTAATTTATACTTGCGAGGAGTGAACATTTAGACATAGAGAAAAAGTATCAAACGTATCTTGTGCAGAAAAGTTAGCTTTTTCTTGAAATCTAACAATATTTAATACAAAAAAAAATATCGGCCGATATATCGGAATATCGGATTTTAAAAAAACAAAAATATTTGTATCGGTATCGGCCTTCAAAATCCTTTATCGGTCGGGCTCTAGTCTGTTTTTGCTTGCATCTTACTTTATATCCATTTCACGCTGTATTTCACTGTGTTTCTATCCATCCATTCATCCATCTGTCTGTAATGACAAATGTTGCTTTTTTAGATATAAGATAGTTATACATTAATATTATAATAGTTACGTATAGTTATTAAAATTCAAATTTGAATTAATTAAAATTTAGGCAATGAACTGAAATTTAAAAGGCTTTCACAACCCTGGAGATTGAGTATCGATGTTGAAAGTATTTTCATTTTTGTGAACTGTTTCTTTACAACCATATTTGGCTTCTATTTACTTTAATGAAACAATGTGCGAGAATAATTTATTTTTACTGCATGAATAAATTCTAGATCAGCATGGTGCGCTGATTAAAATCAAAACGGAAAATTTATATATTGAAACTCATCATTGCATGAATTTATTCATTGTATCATCAGCCATTCTCCAGCTTTATTTTAATGCACGAATAAAGCTCTGTTTCTCTGAAACTTTTATTTGTCAGGTGGTTCTTTTGGGGCAAGTACATAGTATTAGCAGTGTAACTCCCGGCTGGATAACCCCAGTCAAATGGTTCACCCTGACACAAATTATCACAGTGTATGTAAATTAAATTGCACTTGTGAAAAGTGGTAGGAAATGAAAAAATTGTGTGTTTTAAGCTTTTACATTCACAGAACTTGCAGATCAATATTTTTGCAGACCTGGATTTTTTTTATCAGGTTGTGCAATGCATTTGCTGATGTGTAATGTATCAGCTGAAACAACCAGCCAATTTCATTCTCAGCAAACACAGTCTTTATGAGAGGAATGTTACACGGTGAGATATTGATCCCTCTTTCTTAGCCATTTGTAAAATAAACATTGTATCTATCCGTTTAGTCGCTGGTAGAAGTTCAAGATTCGCACCTTGCGTCCACTCTTGGAATCTTGTGTTGTGAAAAATCTTTCTTTTACGAGTAGCGGTGTCACGATTCTCCAAATCCTCGATTCAATTACATTTTCAATTCTAAGGTTACAGTTTGATTCGATTCTCGAATGAAACCAAAAATGAAATTATTAATTATTAATTATTTACTCACCCTCATGTCACCCCCAAGTCTGTATGTTTTTCTTTCATGGAACATATACAGTAAAAGCAGATATTTTGAAGAATGTTGGGAACCAAAATTTTCAGTTCCCATTGACTTCCATTATATGGACAAAAAAATACAATGAAAGTCGATGGGAACCAAAACGGTTTGGTTACCAACATTCTTCAAAAATATCTGCTTTTGTGTTCCACGAAAAAAAAAAGTCATAACAGTTTTGGAACAACATGAGAGTGAGGAAATGATGACAGAAATTTCATTTTAGGATGGACTATTCCTTTTTATTTGACTTTTTGGAGTGTTTTTGTGAGGCTGCGGTGTCACAAACCACACAAATCCACTAAACTTTGGCTACAAACTTGTCTAGAGAAAGTGTAGCAGTTTTTCTAGCTCCGTTTCATCTACTTTCGGGTGTACAAGGCTACAGAATTAATGGGCGGGGAATGGGAGGGCCTAGGTGGACCAGAGAGATTAGCTGTAAAATTGACACTGACAAATCTCATACATTATAGCTTCATGGGAGGCAGCCATCGCCACAGGAAGTGTTGCAAGAATAGAGGGGAAAAGGGAATCACAATATAAAAGGCCTAAAGTGTCCCATTCAGTTTTGTGGTGGAGTTTACAGAGGCTCAACACTCCAAATATATTTAATAAGGTCACTTTTTCTCTTTAATCAGTTATTTTCAACTCACTTTCAACTTACTGATTCACATTCTTGGCATACTGTATAATGTTATAACATGCATCTTTATGTAAACAAGGCAGAATAATTCTTAGGAGTTACGGCTGCTAAATAAAATGGGCAGAAGTGTTTTGTTTCTCCATGGATTTGGCTTCTGTTTTCCCCCCTGTTTGTGCTTATTATTTTAAACCAGCCTGTTAGGGATTTCAAATCTTCTTAGTGCGTTCTCTAAATTGGTCTTTGGTGTTTGATGTTTACAGAGGCTGATTTAAAACCCAAATTATTTAATTTGTGACATTAATGGAGAAAATAGGGTAGATTACTAAACCGCAAAGCAATAGCCTTATGTGATTGCACTCATTTCAGCATTCAGGATTTTGTTTAAACTTGATTGCTTTTAAGCCCATGATATGTGGGATTGGTGCTATATTGGTGCTAAGAAAATACATTTAAATGTATTTTATTGATATTCAGTATACAATACATTATTATATTTTATATCTATATCTATATATAAACCTTGTCTTCTGACATGCTCTTTAGAATACTGGCTGAGGTAAACATGGCATTCACCATGTTTTTCTATCGCATAAAAATCATTGCGAATATATCATAAATATTCAATATATCATCCAGCCTTGTAGTTAGCCCTATATTGACCTGCATAGTATTTTGCTGCCAGCCTTATGCTGGTATTTCAGTTAGAATTTGTCCTAATGAATGGAGATATATTGCATTTCTTTCATTTCTGAAGTTGTAGCTACAGGGTATTACCTCGCAGGCTTAAAAAAATGCTTATAATCATCCGCTTATTGATCCGAACCCTGTTGGTGAAGCTTTGATAAATAAAGCACATAGACTTTATGAAACTTAATTGATGCGGCACATAATTATTGCCATTTCATGAGCAGGAGATGGATTAGATATAGAAGGATCTTGAATTTACTCAATGAAATAACTCGGCTAATGGTTGGCGCTCTCATCTCTCTCTCTGTGTGTGTGTGTGTGTGTTTATGCCTAGGGCTCCTTATGCTCAGCTGATGAGAAAAAGATGTATGATTGTCCCATCTGATGAGAATTTTACATAATTGCTGTTCAAATGTGTTCCTGCCCAGCCCCCATATTCATCTACATTGCTAATTTGATTGAAAGCCTTGTGTTTTCTTATGATGCACCCAATTACGGAGTGTGGGTTCACCATTACTCAATTTGTGTGGTCTAGTAAATGATGGTACATTCCTGTTCTGAAGTCTTTGTGAAAATGATGGATATTCCTCTTTTCCATTAATAGGATAAAGCTCTTGATGGTTCATCAACAACATGTGCTGTTGAATATTCTTGACAAATGTAATGCTCTTAAAATATAACTCATTATCACTCTTGGCATCTCCAGAGTTCTCAGCGCCATTTCACACCCTTCAGAGGTTTGTGAAGGAAGATCTTTGCCATGTTAACTATTTAGTCTCACATTACACTTTGGTAGAGATTCAGAAAGTTCAGAAGTACATTTAGCCTTTTTTAATGGGGGAATTTATGCTGTTTTCAAGTGTAAGTTTTTTAATGTCAAATGTAAAATTAACATGGTTTATATTTTCTTAAAAAGAAAAACATCATTGCCACAAATTTGTTTAGAGTGGTTGCCAGTGCAGTTTCTTGGTAGTTTTTTACGGACCCAAATCCAAATATCAGTTATACACCTAAGATCCAATATAATAATCCACTATAATCTCACACCAGATTCAGCAACATTTGGTATTATATTTTTTCCAAACAAAACAGTCTTTGTCAGCATTAGATTTCTTTTTTCTTAAAATCTTACCGATCTTAAACAGTTTAGATACGATTTTAGGCATGACGTTCTACAAGACAATGACTTCCTTTATTTCAAAACTAGAAACTGTCACGGTTGGTTGCAGCAGAATCAAGCTCAGATACAAAAAAAACCAAGAACACACAGCCAACTAAACACGACGTGGAACTCACAACTGAAAAAAAAAAAAAAAAAAAAAAAAAAAACAGGGCTTAAATAGACAGAGAACTGAGGCGCTAATTAACAAGACACACCTGAACAGAACTAACAATCAATTAGAAACCATAGTGACAAACAGGGAGCAAACAGAGGAGAACTAAACCAATTAACAGACTGACAAGACACTAGAACCGAAATGCAAAAATGGCTCAAATGGGCACATAAACAATGAATGACTGCAAATGCTGTAAGTAATTCCTAGAAAACTCCTCTATCTGAAGAAGTGGACAGTGAAGCTGTCATTAAAGGCACAATATATAGGTTTTTTCACCACAAGAGGGCGCAGTTTCCAACGATAACAAAGGCGTAGGTTTATTTCGGTTGTTAAGTCTGACGTCACGCGTGACGTTTAGCCTCTTCCGGGTCCAAGCGCTCCGCTCGTCCATATCTAATTAACGTTACAACCCATAACGTTAGACTAAGCCCTTTTCTTAAAGGACTGGCTTCGCTTCAGCGCCAGTGGGTGTTAGGGATAAAGGAAAGAATTGTAACTTACCTTATCAACTGCAGCCATTTTCTCTTTTCTTTCTCGTCACAGGGAAAGCGGTAGAATGACAGTTGAATGTCACTTGTTTTTTTTAACTCCGATCTATTTAAACAACATGGGACACAGCACTGCGGCATGTTAAAACTCGGGCAAAAGCGGTAAGCAGATAGAGAGGACCCAGCATTTGGACCCGGAAACAGTATTATCAGAGCGTGATTACGTCACGACTTAACAACCGAATTATGCAGTGATGAGTGGAATGATGGGATTTGCTCTCAAGCTGATGGATCTAATAATGTTTATGGATGAGTGCAAACATTCATGTTTTTTTTAATTACAGTGATATGAAGCTGGTCACGATTGCTGAAGAGACAGATATCACACGCGAGTCCCGCGGATATAAAGGAATAAGGAGATTTAATTCTACCAAACTACCTGCAAGTGCTGGACTACTCACACAGGTTAGTTTATTAGACGAATTAAACTTCAAAACTTCACTTTGTCTAACGTTACACTATCACACTAAATGGCATTTAAATGTGTGTTGAAAGTTATAATGTCATACTACTTGTTACTTTGTTTGCTATACGAAACTAGCAGTAAACTAGATTAACATTAGAATAACATACTGACCATATTTTAACATTTCATCTTGTTGAGCTAACGTTATATACATTGATTTGTTTTATGTACATTTGCTCACCTGCCTAATAAAGCTGTCAAGTCGTGACTCGTGAAGTTCTGTCAAGTCCAAGTTAGTCGCGGATGTGGAGCTTTCAGCATCTCAAAAACGCCATGCTGATACTGATCCTCATTTTAGTTCTCCTTGTTTGTCCCAAAGTCTGCTCGCCATGTTTGAAAGAAACAAGAACTGCGTGCCGTGAAACGTTACGCACTACGCAGTTGTCCACGTCTGTCGCCATGGTTACGTCATGGCTATGGCAGTATGAACGGAAACCGAGGATAGCACGGATAATGCGTCATTGACAGGCGACATTTTTTTTTTTCCATGATGGCCACTTATTTAAAATTGGAATTTCTCTGAAATAAAAAAAAAATCTTTGGAGACTTTTGGGATATTGTAAGTACACAAATGCAGGAAATATATCACACTGTGCAAGTGATTTTTGGATATTTAATTACAAAATTTGTACATATTGTGCCTTTAAGTATTGATTACTCAGATGATGTAAAATGAAAGATATATTGAAGTAATTGTTAATGGGTCAACAAATCACTTGAATTCCCACATGCTTTTGGTGTGGTGTGTGTGTGGTCCTGACTAAGCCTATGTTGTGGGGACCAAATCTTGGTCCCACAAAGATAGTAGTAATACCAGTCATTTTTGACATTGTGCGGACATTGTTTTGGTCCCCATGTGGAAAACAGTTTATAAATCACACAGAATGATGCTTTTTGAAAATGTAAAAAATGCAACAAAAAAAAACTGTGTGATGGTTAGGTTTAAGAGTAGGGTTATGGCATAGGTACTGTATATACACCTTTAGTTAAAACAATTAACTATTTATGGAAAGTCCCCATAAAAAATGAAAAACCAACGTGTGTGTGTGTTTGTGTGTGAGAGAGAGAGAGTTAGAGAGAGAGAGACTGGTGTGAATGTGAAGCCTGGCTCTATGAGGCTGAATGAGTTCTGATATGAGGAGACCGTAGCCTGGAATCTTGCTAATAGTCTGGCACTGGATAAAATAACCACTGAGAGAGTGAGTTCATTTGGAAGTGGCGTTTACTGTAACTTCAAATGTAAAAACTATACGGCTTATTACTTCCTCTTTTAGTGTACAATTGGGTCCAGAAATCATATGTGAAATGCTTTAATTTATCAGTTTTCTAATTCAATGCGATTTTTAATAATATGATAAGCATAGTAATTTGAATGAACAGTTGAACTGAAAATGTCATGGATTTCAGAATGACAGGAGCACTTAAGCTGAGCTCCACAAGTTAAACCTAATGATCCATGTTATCCATCATTATTTGAGAATGTTACGAAGGGCGTCTTTTGCCTCAGTGGAATAAGGAAATTGCATTTGCACTCCTTTTGTACATGGTCATTGTGACAAATTTACCCATTTGATTAGTGACCCGGAAAGTTTAGAATCTAAAAAAATGTTTTTAATTCACTTTTTCCTCAAAACATTTCTTTGTTTTAATTTTTTTTTTTCAACGTTCATCTTTTATGGGTTTAAATGGGATTTTAATCCCAACATTTCAATATGATCTCCACTGCATGTGTGCGTGTTTTCATACTTTTATTTAGCAGGGGCACATTAAATAGTTCAAAAGTGACAATACATTTATGACACTGAAGACAGAATAATGTCAGCTTTGTCATCACAGGAATAAATTACATTTAAATGTTTTTTATTAATAAATTAATATTATTAATATTACACATTTATTGGTTTAAATGTATTTTCGATCAAGTAAATGCAGCCTTGGTGCACACAAGAGACTTAAAAACATTTTTTTTTTGTGGTCAAACGATTCTAATTTTTTTTAGTGTACTGTATTTTTAAATGTATTGTGCTTTTAGTCATTACAAGAACGTCCTCTACATGTCTGTTTGTTTGTCTCCAGCCAATTATAAATGAAATTTGCACTTCTCAGATTGACATGAGGAGTATTAGGAGCTTTTAAATAAATTACTTGTTGAGAAAAATTAGGTGCGATTAATGTAGGGAAAAGTAGCGAGTCCCCAGAGGAACGGCTGTTAAATGATGGCCTCTTTATGGACAAACGGCTGTTCAGTCATCCAGGACAGTGGGCCCTCAGGGGAATAAAGAAATGTGATGCATATTATAGCCGCATGGGAATGCAGCGTCCACACTTGCACTGCCTGGTTTAACACTTCGCCCAGCACTAGAGACCTCTGCTGATGGATATACCCTCAGCCCGGAGAATATGCACACGCTCTAAGCACCAGGAGGGCTTCCATGGCTCTCGGTCTCTGCGTGCACGAGACCGTCTGCTCAATCGCAGTGGCATCAGCAGTTCCTGGCTGGTGACATGAAAACATTGTCCCCAGGCAATGCCTGAGACAGAATACATTAACAGGGTCTGTTATTTCCACGGTAATATGGCAGATATCACAAACCTTCTGTAGCTTGCGCTGCATAAATTGTCGCGATACTTTGTGTTGTCAGTCAGTTTTCTTGACTCAACAACCTCTTTTTCTTTTGTCTTCCTGTGCAGTTGGTATAATTTATCAACCCACCAGGGCTTCCTGTAAATCATTTTGTGTTTTTTTATCAGCTCACTTTCTAAAGGGGCTTATTGAGTACTCAACTCAACAGTGTGATTGTTAATTACACACAGGGAATGTTGATTTACATTGTTGGACAAAATACGTTTACATGCAGCCAATTTTCAGGTTATGGTCGGGTTTCACTATTCGGGTTTCTGAAACATTAGGAATAACCCGTTTACATGCGTGAGCAGAGAGAGTTTCTCCTGTATACATGGAATTACGATATCCGTATGTAAACGGCGACGCTCAGTTAGCATCTAGACGTACAGACATTTCCAATTCTTCTTCCTGTATCCAAAGACAACAACAACAACAGCAGCACGCGTATAATGAATAGTTCTGGGCAGATAGCGATTGCCTTTGTTTGCGCTTTGATGCAGGTAACGTTACTGAGCTCGCTCCAAAAGTATGCTGTGCTGTGTCTCGCCTGGTCTCGCCATGTTTACTTTTCGGTATACTGAACGCAGATTTTTCTATGCGCCAAGAAGTTTCTCTACTCAAAAGACCAAGATTCTTTCCGAATAGAACATGTGCAAAACACAAATCACTATGGGGATATGGCGATACGCGTTTACATGACCAAAAATTCGGGTTAGAAAAGGTATAATATCCAGGGATATGAGCATATTCGGGTTTTTGCCAATGTTTACATGGTCGTTCGCGACCGGGTTATTGCTAATATTCCGGTTTTGAACTGGTTATTGGCTACATGTAAACGTAGTCATTGTAAATTCGTTCTTAACATCAATAGCAATGAATTTGTATTGCTTTTTGTTATTTATTTTAATAATAAAATTTAATTTACTTTCTTATTTGTACGTTAAATCTGTGGTGTGATGGCAAGATTTTTCCCATCACAAATTCATGCGTGTTGTGAATTAGTTTTCGTGAGAAGTTTAAGGGCCAATCCCAATTCTATCCCTTACCCCTTCCCTTTCCCCTAGCCCTACCCCTTCGCCTTCCCCTTGACCCTTGAAACAGAGTGGCAATGCGTAGGGGTGAAAATATTCCCCTAAGAAATGGGACACCACTACGCCTCCGTTAAACGTCATTATAAGTCGTCGCTAGCGCCTACGTCACAGGATATGCGCCGATGTTTATCACAACTTCCAAGATGCCGTCGACAGCTGCAGTTATCTCAGTTGCATGGGTTACAGCTATTTTCTTGCATCTTGTGAAGTTCGCAGGAAACAACGGAGACGACGAAAATATGTTGCGGGACTATCGTTAGCAAACTACAGTAATTTTAGCGAATTTTTTTTTTTTTTTTTTTTTTACAAACGTTTCTGTGAAGAAACTGACCGTAAATATGAACACAATATTGAATGTAACATAAAGCAAATCATTATTTGTCGTTATAATACTTATTAAAGCCACAAATACTTAAATTTATGGGTCTCCTTTGTCGCTTGGGCAGCCAGCCTGGGTTAGCAGTGACACTTCTCATACCCCTTCGTTTGAAGTGTGCTCCCGAAAAATCTTCGTTTGAAGGGCTATCTGGCCCTTCACCCTAGCCCTCCCCCTCCAACCAAAAGAGAATTGGGGCAGCCCTACCCCTTCACGTGGACGCGCAAAACGGAGGGGAAGGGGAAAGTGAAGGGGTAAGGGGTAGAATTGGGATTGGCCCTAAATGTGCATATAGATACGAATAGTGTACGCAGTTATTAGTGAATGAGACCCAATGAGTCAATACATCATCACTCCACGTAAAACATGTTTTTGTCTTACACTGATTTACTATGGTAAGCTTATTATAAGTGTTTATATTTTAGACCTAGTGGGATGATGTTTTTCAGGAAATTGCATAAATACTTTACGTCACTCAAATTGAGATCCTTTCCATCTAAACTGGTTGTAAATCTTTTAAGCCTGGAATGTTTTATGAGCAGTAGGATAACCATATTTATCACTACAGCCACACAGCGCCAAAGCACAACCAAAACAATGTTCTTCTGCAAAATGCATGCAGTTTTGTTTATTAACCTCTAGAGGGCCAACAGTTACATAGTCACAGTGCACCTTTAAATTGAATTTAAATTAGCAAACTGGATGCAGAATTGCAATTTGAACTGAAACTTAAAGAAGGATTAAAATTTAAATAATTGAAACTACAAAAAATTCTTTTAATTGTAATTATTTTTAACTAAAAGAAAAGTTTGTTTAGAATGAAAGAATGTTGATTCGACAAAGTCT